GAGCGCGACGTCTCCTTAATTTGCACTACCCTTTCGATTGGAGCATCAAATTTCATGTAGACAAGGACATGGTAGACACTTGCTTCTGGTCATACATTGTCTATTCTCGACCAATACCACCTAAAATCGTCGTCATTAGCGGGCGCGACGTCGCACGCGACGCCCACTGGCGCGGCGAATTACGATTCTCCTACATACCCACGGCCAAGTGGTCCCCTCCAGCTACGTTAGCCATTTTATGTTAGACAGCATATAGTGTTGAAATGCTGCGAAGTGACTTTTCTAAGGAGGGTCAAGCATCACTTTGCGGCAAATTGCCTGATTGGTACCATTTGTGCTGTAAATATAGGACAAGTAAAGCCTTGACAGGCAACAAGCGAAAGAGGCTGTCGTTACAACCCCTCTCCCGCCCCCTGTTGGCTGTCAAGACTTTACTTTCCTATATTTACGGATTCGTCAGTACTATGAGATTTAGAGGTCCAATGGCTCACTGGACTTCCACTGCACTTCACTTCTTGTAAAGTACCTAAGTTCATACGCTAACCGGCGGAAGGATCTACCCGAATCACGCTATAGCTTTCGCAAGCACGATAGCGTCTTAGTTCAAAAACAAGTAGAAAATTGCTGAATGCGAGTTCTTCTTCGTTCATTGGGAACAGACTTGTTTGGGCCTAGCATGGAGCAAACTCAGACATAAATTCGAGAACCTGAAGAATTTGGCTTTTCCATACCCACAACACTTTTGGTGTAGGTCTTGCATTCGTTAAAAAAATTTGCTTTTCGCGGATAGTGACCAAAATAGCGTGAAGTTTTTTTAGTCGTGAGTTTGCGAGCTTTCACTGGACAAGATTTCGCTCAGGTACAACCCAGAGCGTAGATCTATACGAATTCGAAAACTAGAAAATTCCCTTTCGGGGGAAAAAACATAAAACTTTTGCTGTAGGCCAACCATAACTAGAATGCGACCGTCGGATATGTAGGTCAGGGAATTTCCTTCAACATTAGCAAGAGGGTTTACATGTTCATTTCTCGGGAAACTTTCGTGCATTTTTCTTTGTGATAATAGGAACTGGAAGCACAGAGGTACTGAACAGTTTCGAATGCGCCACGTACGCGATTTTCACTGAGATCGTAGCTGCGCTCATAGCAAAGATTCTCTGCCTCGTTGAGACATGCAACCTATGAATTCGATGTAGTTCCATTTGCAGTATAATAATTTCGAGAATTCCCTTGTGACCCTTTCGGCGGAAATATCACTCCTTCAGGCGAAACATAATGGGAACGACGACAGTGTTCCGCGAACGTTGTCACTGCTTCAATCTTACAGGCTGACACATATTTGGTTGTCCCAAAAGTTCGTGTCACTTTCGATCTTTTTTACGTAAGTTTATTCCCAGTGAGAAGCAGTTTTGATCAACAATATATATGTTACCTTCATCGGCAACTTGTTGCCAACCACCAGGCAAAGAGTGGTTGCCTTGCTTCCAGAAGCTTTTTGGTTCCGTGCCAGAAAGGCAGCTGGGTCATTTTTGAGGTACTATCAAAAATCGTATTTTTTACCCAGAAGATGGCCGCTGTGGGATTAGTTTAGATGGCGATCGGAAAGAGCTAAGTCAGGGCTACACGAAGACTGTGGTGGAATTCCCCAGCTAAGCTTCAGGATCTCGAGCAGTGTCATTTTCGAAACGTGTGACCCTGAGCTGTGGTGGAGTAGGCAAACATTGCTCGGTTGTGGGACCAAATGGTGGGGATTTTCATCCCCCCTTTGCAGTTGATTACAATAGGGTTCGCTGGTTAACAGCGCTGAGAAGAAGAGTTCTATTAAGAAAGAGAGAAAGAAACACCACGGGATTGATAGGATTGCGCGACCGGTTCTGCCCTTTCTGGGGGATCTAGCCACTGGCGCTTCCGGGAGTGATTCACCTAGAGACACCTCCTCCATATCCATTGCAACGTTGTTCATCCAGTCCGTACGGCGGAAGCGGGAGAGAAGTTGTAGACAGTACCCACATGCCCTCCCTGGAGTATTGGTCAACTCATGAGAAAAATTTTGACCGAACTTCAATACTTTTCAAGAGAACGAGGCTCTCTCGATACAGTCAAGTGTAAGGACTAGATAGCGAGTTGATTTGTACGAATTGGTTTTAATCAAGGAACACAGTAGGTCCAAATCCAAGGCAGGTGGCCTCCTTGGACGAAGTTTTTCACCCAGATAGAAGTCACTAAAGCGGAAGCAATTGGGCCATTTCAAAGCCGTACTGTGGAAGGTAACATCAAGATCTAAATAAGGGAAATGCCGCTTATGGCTCCAACCACGTTGTGGCTTGGTAGAGATTCATATAGCGAAGTGTGTCGAAAATGATGAATTTCAATTACCGTTTTTGGATATGAGAACAGCGACTGCGAGGGACAGTAAAGCAACTGTTGGATGCTCATAACACACTTCCCATAGACCGCATATTTGGATCTTGAAAAGGCTACGGGAAGATCTGATACGAGATTCTAAAAATGGTCACGAACTTTTGGGACAACCTAATACAACCCCCTCCACCTCCAAGCAGGTCATTCAGCGATACACGTGACCTTAGCTGTGAGCGAGGAAATGAGATTTTTGCCTATCAGTAAGATTGAGGCGAAGGAGCTCGGATTGACTGATCCTCAGTGCCGATATTCTATCATCTTAAAATGGGCAAGTCAACCTCTCCTCAAGATTTATTGTAATAGTTATGGGGGTGCACCAAAATGACTATTCCCACGACACAACGCCTCAATTTTCTTCAACCGTGAGGGAATGAATGAAGCACATTGGGAGACTAATATCTCCCCTAAGTACTAAAAGGATTGAATGTCCGAGCTTGTAGTGATGTTTTGGTGTTCTGGGGGTCAACGGGGTAGCTACTTGGACACATTCGCGTCTGCACCGGTTCAGTCGCTTTGATCGAAGTGATCGCGAGTGTACCCAAATGCTGATAGCTGGAGCCACATCTTCCTAAAATATTTATTTTGATTGTTATAAAAGACCTAAAAGGTACCACATTTCATTGTGCGAAAGACGAAAGACTAGATCAAAGATTTCCAATCCGAAAAATTCCTGTGGCTTTTTATGCGAATAATTCAGTGCTCGTCATCTCTTACGGCGAAGGTAGTTTAGTAACAAGTAGCGCACTTAACCTCTCGCGATCGTGGGTTCAAATCCCGAGGTCGACTCCCGCCCAGGCCAGCCAAGCCTGCTACGCTCCGGAGACCCAAATTGGTACCAGATTCGTCTGGGAAGACAATAACCTGACTTGTATATCGGCTCCCGCAAGTCATTGTATAGGCCACATCGCATTCAATAAGCCACTACGATTCTGAATGGAAGTAGAATGCGTGCCGCATCCCACAAAGGGATTGATTAACGGCGAAGACTTTATCCTTTTTTCCTTTTATTTCATACTTCCCTTGGCCATCTGGACCAGCATCATGGCTGGCTACTCTTACAGAAGCCACACCCTGAAGAATTAATTCTATGTAATACTCTTTTCTCTCAGAATAAGTTTGATTATAATGGGGGAAAACAGCTATATGCAAACTCAAGAGTATCATTAACTTTTCTTTCGTTTATGAGCGCACAGAGACGTTTTTTGGGCTAAAATATTTGAGGGAATCCCTCTGGATTACTTACTGGTTTCTTGGTTCAAAAATCAGTAAATACATCAGAACTATTATAATAGGCAATTTTGCAGCTTTCTCTAAGCTTTTTCTGCGGTCCCGTAGGAGAGATAAACATATATCAGTCGCAGTTAGCTAGAAGATTTGCATCAACGATGCAAAAAGTTTCTCGAAGTGAGGGTGCATGTTCGCCTTGAAACGGATAAGAGTTTAGTTTAGCCTTTTTCTATTGGCCCGGACTAGGTTTGGGCCACGTATCCGACTTTCACTCATAATCTCAAAGGCATTTGAGAGGCGTTTTCCTTAGAAAATGACTCTATCAAGGTCTCTCATCTGTCTGTCGAATATATTTTGTGTATTTACTGCACACCTTTGTTAAGAAAGCCACGGAGGTCATTCATAGGGAACATACCTGCGCTTGGAACTTCAAGCATAAGGCTGGTTCCATTTCGGCAGGTAGCTCAACGGCAACGGAATCAGCCTCATGACCGCAATTCGGTTATAATTTGGTGCAATGTGTTTTACATTTGAAGCAGTTCTGCGCTGGAATTTCTTCTGAGCGCGAATGTGCTTCCTCACTACCCTCCAAAAAAAGGCCTCAACTTCATTCATATAGGTCCGCAGCAGATACGATGGAAGGCTTTCTTGTTCGAGACCTCAACAAAATTTAAATTCTATTCCCAAAATTTTTGCACGCGTTAGGACATTCTACAGCGTGAGGCCGCTCCTCACTCCCACGGCTACGACATTCAGTGCTGACGGACCTGTCGCATAGAGACTTACCGCAATGAGTGTTCCTTATAGGCAGTTGGCACAATAATTTGGTACTCTGTCCAAAATGGTAGCAGGGGTGCTAAATAGTGGGAAATGGCGGAAAAACGAAGTGAAACCATGAAAAACCGCAAAAAAAGCTTTTGTTCTTTAGGACTCAGGAAGCACTTTGGACGAGTTTCTCGTTGACATCGTGCCAATAACCGCTACGGTAAATGTATTCATATATCCATGCAGCACCACAGTCGCTTCATATCAATCCCTTCGCTTCATACTGTACTCCGCAAATGAAGCGATACGAGCATCAGGATCGGTTGGACATTTGTGGGCGGGCGGGCGTTGTGGGGCGCTGTAAAGGTATCGCACTTGGAAAAGACGTTACGCAGCGCTTGCTCAGGGGCGGCGAATTCAGTCATGCTATGCGTCACAGTCATATAGGTCTTCGAGATTTATCGTGCCTGCTGCCCTTAGGGTGATTATGATGCCCTGTCTCTAAATGTTCCATCCCCGAATCTTTAGACTATGACGTAACGTCTTGTACTCTATTAGACTCTATTACCAACTCCTAGTATTTTAGAATGCTGCGCGAAATAAGCCGGCGGGTCGACTGGGTTCTAGTTGGGGGCCGATGGACGCGTGTGTCCATCATCGGCACTAGTCTCTCGGCGGATGTTCTGGATCGAGACAATAAAGGCGACGCCGATGATCGTGTTGTGATCCTGATGATACCAGGTTAGAATCGCAATGAGTTCGAACGCTTCACTTCTTTACTTCTTGGTATTCCTTTTTTCATTTCTCTCAGGCAATCCCGGTAACGAGGGATTCTATGCCGACTTTGGCCAACGGGTTGTGAAGTGCTTGCTATCAAGAGAGGAACGAATGGGTGATCGAAAACGGCACTATTTATTCTACACCGTATCACATCTCAATCATGTTGTCCTGCCGAATGAGCTGAGAAATGGCAAGCATAAGCATTATGGTGAGTTGCTGCTTTGTGTTGATGCACTCGTTGACTGTTTTTGCCGCTGCTGCTTCTTGCTTAGGCTCACCTTTAGGATTCGCTTAGGCTTCTTTTGGAAAAAGCATTCGCTTTCGATTAGCTTCACTTACCTCTAGAATTACAAGATGACACAGAGGAATGCAGATAAATTCCCCAAGAAGAGTCAATTGTAGTCGTTCTCGCTGCACACGCTGAGGTGTGTTAGGGATGGGGCTGGATTAGGCGTGGCGCTAGCGCGTTGTCCATCAGTTGAAGCGAGCAAGAGGCTACAAATCATGGTATACGGAATGGCGCCAGCCCAAGCCCAGCCTCATGACGCGCCCCAGCGTCTATAGCGAAAAGATATACAGAGGCGAAATACAAGGCGATATAAGTACAATTTATCGAATTCTGATTGGACATTTCACCATCAAATTCAACAACACATTGTACACGATCACGAAACTCCGCCACAGCCTTCTGGACGAACGCCATCGAGAGATTCTGCCACGCGACCGTGATTCGGTGCATGAGTTCAGCGAGGTGATTTCTCGGCCTGATGAGCTCCTCCCGGGCCCGCCAACAGAGGAGGGTCAGGTCAGGTGACGAACTTGGATATTCCGTCTTCTTCCAGTACTCAACGCCCTTCGATTCCAAGTAGGCGAGAGTTTTTCGATTCCATGTGCTGGCACCCAATCCTGTAGCAGTACAAAGTTTCCAAGAAGGTACGGGCGACGACATGTGGGGAGGATATTCTTCTCGAGTTGCTCGATGTAACCGCCAGCGCTCACCTTCAGTCCGGGGTCCACGAAGAAAATATTGGTCTTTCCATTCCAGGTACGTCCGGTCCATACCATCAACCCGCGCCTTGGCGACTGCGGTGAAGATGATATCCTGGACCGTAGCGACGTTGTCGGAGCTGCTCGATGTTGGAGGTCTTCCAGATCAAGAGTGCTGGTCCAGGTAGCTGTCCATGGGTGACTCCATACAAGAAGTTTCGCAGCTGTTTGGAGGTGACATGAATTCCATAGGCCTTCTCCAGTCCGGCTGCGATTGGAGATGGCTTCATATTCTGTGTACATGAAGGTGATGGCACAGAGCCTGTTCCTGCTTATCGAGGAATATCTTGGGTATGAACGCAAACTCACGTTTTCTGTCTGGGTTGCGTGAACTTTACTGATATGCGACTCGGCCAAAGTGTCTTTTTTGCGGTCCCCCTGTTTGTATCGCGGGACCGGCGACGATGGGGGCCGTTTTGACTTGCGACTACGTGCTTGGATATAAGTCAGTGCTCCGTGACGCGTCGAAGCGGAAGTTTCTGCTAGGACCTGATAGAATGCTGTGCGTGGGGAGTCAGTACTGAATAGCACAGTTACAGGGTACCTTTCGTGAGGGCGGGTACATTGGTGAAAGGTCGAGAGTCTTCCACTTCATCGCTTTTGACGCCATTGCGACTTTCCTTCACTTGACCACAATGGCATCTCTCAGTCGACTGTTCAAGAAGAATCGTACACAAGAGTACCACAAGAGCACGTTCTGGTGACTGTTCCTCGTGCTTTTCAAGGAAACCTCAAAGTGTGATCTAGATGTTCACTCTGCCCTTTCGTGAAGTCTTGGATGATCTCTGAAGGTGTCACGAATCCCTCTTTTCTCTCCTTTTGTTAATAGAAACGTACAGTAATCGTCGGGATGATTTTAGAGTGGAAATGTGTGAAGCGTGAATCGATGGAGCGCTGTTGTGTCTTGCATCTTCCCAAGGCGCTGACAAGCCGGACAAGTACCGTTTGTCCTGGACTTTCATAGCACAGACCACTCCCACTGTTCGGGAAGCGCTTGGCCTCAGCATCGATGACCTGGAGAACTTTGCGGCTGCAGGTGCATGTCCTATCACTAGGCCTGTTTCGCCACGGTTTCTCTTCTTTTTCATCAGATGCTCTAGCAGTACCGGCTTGCTGCTAATCAGCTTACCGCTTCGTACCGCGGCTTTTGTGTGAACATTTGTACAACTTCGAGCGGTCTATTCCTCCTCATAATGATGTTCCAGATCGCTTTCAACTTGATGCTCAAGTTCAACATAAACTCGATTTCGTCAAAGAGCACCTACCCAAAGCTCAAAAAATCTATATCCTAGGTCACAGTATAGGAGCATATATGATGCTGAGGTACATACTTACAATCCTTACATCACATTACGTTTTTACCGTGACGAGCTGGCTATTACACAATACTAAGCTTTTGTCAAACGATAAAAACTGTCTGTACCTTCACAACCTTTTCACAATTTTTTTTTCAAAAAACCTCGTTTTCCATGTGATATCTGTCATCGTGGTGTCGGATAGAACCTCTAAGGTTTGCAGAAAAAGTAAGCATTCTGGACTTGCAGTAGTACCGACGAGTGTTTTCTATGAGTATGACGCGTCTGTATGGACCTCAGGGTTCAAGACGGACCAGCGGCCAGCCGGGTACAGCATCGTGATGTGTGAAATGGTGGTGTCAAGACGACTTCCCCCCCCCCGTCGAAGAAGGGTCTCGGCAAAGACCCATGTAAAACAGGAAAAACCGCGAAATGTCAACAACTGGGAAAAATTTCTTTCCAACCGCAGTTGCAAGTTTCTCTGAAAGGCACGCTTCCCCCCCCCCTTCCCCCCCCCGTGTTTCATACAACGATGCTCTACCCTGGTGGCCGGCGGCGCCGCTGCTGAACGCTTGGTCCGAGAATCTACTTGGAGATCGAATCACGCGCAGGGTCACTATGCTTTCAGATTCTTCCGGTTGACTGACTGTCTCCAGTTGCTATTTCGACTATACATATATGGAAGTCTGACTCGCGGCTCAGTGA